AGTCACTGAATTACTATTCTTCAGGACATCAGATGAAACTGATATCAGAAATGATGAACCCAGAGGTCTTGAAAAGCTCCGGAACATAGTCCATACTTCAAACTGAAATATGTCATGATAGTTAAAATTTTTAACAAGATCAATTGGCAGGAACTGCTCAGGCTGGCAGAGTTTTTACCAGGAACTTGACCCAAATCTCACTGAGATCAAAAGCAGTCCACTGACTTTCACTGACTTTGGATCAGGTCTCAAATATCAGAAATTAATAACAGCAAATCCGCAGCATCAAGGTCTACAGATGTATCCTTATCCAGATGTCTGGCTCATAAGAATTGTCTTAACATGTTATGATCCATGACTCCAATGTGACTTTTCTCCTCAAGTTTCTCAGTTGAGGCAAACAGATAATTAATAACTACTAAAGTGCTAACAATAGAAAATCATGGAACCATGTAGTACAGTGAAACCATTATAGGGTGTGCACAAACCTCCCTGCAATCCAGCTTTGTGGAATGAAGAATATAGAAGATCTTGTCCTTGTAGGGCCACAGACAGAAAAAAGGAGTGTGGCTACTAGTTCCATTTGGCGAGTTACTAGCTTTACACCATTTCCACACAAAATTCCCATAAGGGATACACACATTCTTTTCCAATACCCGGTGAAAGCATTGGAAAGGTAATGCAGCTGCTGTGGTACTATGAACCGTGACTGAGTACAACACTGGAGTATTTAACCACACAGAATTCTTGTTATATGGCAGCAAGGTCACATCCTCTTAGACTAGGCTGACGCCGATGTCACTCAAGTGATTTCTGTAGTGTGAGTGTACCCTGAATGTATTCTCTCTTTGGGAATGGATCACATGTTACTAAGTAAGAGACTGAGCTGTTGTGAACCACTTATCTACACCTGCAGCTCTTGACAGTGAAACTGTTCCCTGGGGAAGTCCTAAAGGGTGGATGGGCGCAAGGAACTTCCACTTCCTGCTTACACCTCTCAGTGCAGGGACAGCTCAGGCTCACAATCCCTGAGCTTAGAAGAACACAAGAATGATTCATATGCAGCAAAAACTACCTGGAAGGAAAAGGGCCGTGTCTTTGCCTTCATGCACAGCTCTGCTGAGCTGGATTCTCCATCTGAAGAAATGCAACAATGTGCAAATTTCCCCTACATGACTGGATGCTGAGAGATAGGGATTGTAACTCCTGAGATAGCTCCATCCTCCTCAACAAGGACCTTCTGCCAATCCAAAAGGTGTCATGATTTAGAGTCCTTCCACTATATTACCATTCCACTTAAGGGTGTTAAGGACTAGACGACTATCGAATAAGCAAATGCTTATTGGATAGTCGAGTCGACTAGTCGATTCCCGACCCTTGCTGCCTCTATCAGAAGAGTGGGGGGGGGGGAAGAGAGGGTACTTCAAAGCAGCACTTCAAAGGGGGCAGTGCCGCACAGCTTATCCAGGGCTCAGATGTGCAGCACTGACCCTCTGAAACACCTCCTTGGCATTTCAAAGCAGGGCCACAAGGCGCTGACCCCTGGCTCCATGCAGTGCAGGGCATAACGAAAGAAGAATAAGATTGTGTCCATGAAAGCTCATGATACTATTTATATATTTTTGTTAGTCTCTAAGGTGCTACAGGACCATTGTTGGTTTTTTAAGTTTTTTTAGTTACAGACTAACACGGCTACTCCTCTGAAACCCTTAATCTGGACACATCAGCGGTTACCTGTCAGGTGTTTACTGAAACACTGAAACTTAATGTTGATCAGTATGAAAGAAATACATATTTAAAGAATGCAAAGGTACTACAGTCATTTTAAGTAGTGGGAATAGTTTTAGTTCCAATATTGAAACAATTATTTTAATAAATCTGATTAAAAGATCATTTTCAATAATACTGATACTGAGTTAGACTGTTCTCAGACTGGTTTTGCATCAACCTATTCCACTGATGACAAGAGTGTTAACCCTAAACTACACACTACAATAAGTGAAGGCAGAATCCCAGTCCCTCCTCCTCTTTTCACTGAATTCCTTCTAAAGGAAGTTCTGGGGTAAACAAAACAATATTCATTAAAAAGGTCAATAGTTTTCAATATCGTCAAAGGATTCCTGCCACTAACAAATTCATTTGTGAAGGCAACATTTTTATGAATAAAAGCAGAAGGCACTGATACTATGAGAATGTTCTATTGTAATTATTTTAGTATGCCAAATGATGCATCAAATTCCAGAATATGCCCTTTGGTTAAACAAATGAATACATGTTACTGCAACATTAAGGTGCACCATTATTTGGCATAGCACCAAAGCACATAGTATGCATATACTAGCTAGGCCCTTTGGGCTCGTCCTAGAACACACCTCATCAAATGATGACAGAATAGCCTTTCCTACAGATATGATGCCCTGGTAGAGTCCCAGCAGAATACAAAGCTATCCTTCCCCAAGAGTGAATAATCACAGGGCCAGGCTGCCACAAGGAGGTAAACATGATGAATTTAGCACTGTGATTTAGTGAATACACATACCCATGTTTCAGCCAAATCTTGGCTGGCGCACATTCTCATTGGTATAATAAATAGTAGCCCAATGTCTGAGAGTCTGTAACGCTGAAATGCTGGTGCTGTTGCTGGGCGGTGCTGTTGCTGAAATGCTGGTTGTTCCCTCTGGGCGGTCCGTGCTGCATGGGGAGTGTGGGGCCCAAACGGCTGCTTGTGCCGCTTGCTCCCCCACGGCGGCCCGGCTGAGCGGCGCAGAAGTCAGCCGAGCGCCACGGCGGGAGGGGAAGGGGGGCGGGGCAGTGATGTGCGGCGTGACAGCGGCCCCTGGCCATGAATGTCACTGCCCTGCCCCCCTTTACCTCCCGCCATGGTGCTCGGCTGACTTCTGCGCTGCTCAGCCGGGCTGCCGCGTGGGAGCAAGTAGCGCAAGCGGCCATTTGGGCTCCGTGCTCCCCATGCAGCACGGGGAGTGTGGACCCCACATGGCCATTTGGGCTCCACAGTCCCCCGAGTGAGAGGCAGGAGGGGGAGGAGAAGTGAAAGAGAGAGACAGAGAGAGAGGCAGGAGGCGGAGGAGAGCTGAGAGAGAGAGAGAGACACGGGGAGGCAGGAGGAGGAGGAGGAGAAGGAAAGAGATGGAGTGAGAGACCGGAGGCTCATTGGTATAATAATAAGCAAACAAGAAATATGCAGTGTGCAGGATCAAACTGCTCTAATAAACTTTGTGGCTCCTTGCTTCAAGAAATATCCATCTTTGAAATAGTATTCACTGCAGGACAAAGAAGTCTTGACTTCTGCACACTGACAATGAAAGCTAGTGCATGCCACAGAATCTATGGATAAGCCTTTTCCAGAACAATATGATCTCTCTTCACACTTCTGCTCAACTCTCATATTTATAAGCCTAACATCAGTTTCTGGCTACCCTGGCCATGATTACTATTGACTAACGATGCTGTAACTCATCCTGTAAAATAATACTTGCTATAAAAATGTAATGTTAGCCTTCTCTCAACTCACTCGCCCCTAAACTAATTCACAGCAATTGGAAACCATGCAACTGCACTGTTGCTCTTCCTTCTGCCTCACACTTTTCTCTGCTCTCAAATGTCAGTTCCTGTCTAGCCTGCCCCAGATTGTACTGACCAGATCCTACAATTTTTACTCTTCAAGAGCTCCCATGACTCACTTATGCTCTCTGCCAAGTAAATGTCATTTTCTGAGCTCTCCATCTCCAGAATCCCTCCCATTCAGAACCTGGCACAAAACTGCAAGAGGAGAAAAGGCTGTCACGTGATTAGTTGCTGGTCTGAATCAGGGTTCAGGCAAAGGGCCTGTGAAGGGAAACAGTCCTGCTAACAAAAATAGTTTTATTTTAGGCGCTGTGAGGAAGCCTTCCCTCCACCAAATCGAACAGCAGTGCTCACATATTCTCCATCGCTTTCACTTTGGCATATTTTTTATCCTTTTGATTATGTACTTTCTACCTACTTGTAGTTTATATGGGTTTGTTTTAACTACTTTTAAACATTTATTTCTGAGTTAATGTAATGTTTTGAATGACGGACGTTGCTTTATAAATATTTTAATAGATATTCCAACTTGCTCCACTGGTAAGAACAGTAGGAAGAGGCATACAAAAATCACAGGCCTTTGTCACCGACAGTATCACTGGGACATGAGAACTAAGAAGTATACAAAAAAGGATCGGTGGGGCACAGGATATTTAAAATCAGTATGCAATGAAACAGGCCTGATGTGGAGGGCACCATCCAGGTACCCAGGCTTTTGGCCAAGATATACACTGAGATTCTGATACATGGATGCTAAAGAATCCATTGCACATGTAGGCACCGACTGTGTGGCTGCTCCAGAGCTGAAGCTTCCATGGGGAAAAGTGTTGGGTACCGAGCACATACTAGCGGCCAGCTCCTCCCCTTGTACCACCTCCTGCCCACTGAGGAACAGCTGTTCTGTGGCAGGCAGGAGGTTCTGGGGGAGGGACAGAGAGGAACAGCAAGTGCCGGGCACACTTGGAGGAGCGGTGGCATGGAGCAGGAAGAGGCAGGGCAGGAGTGGGGGTTTGGAAGAAGGGGTGGAGTGGGGGCAGGACCTAGGGCAAAACTAGAAGGTCAAGCATCCCTCACCACATTAGAGATTTGGTACCTCTGATGACACATTTAATACCTTTAAAAGGTTTAACCTCAGACATCTCTCCAAATTAAGCTTGAATATTACATTCCATTCTCCTAAACTGTACTTGTAATTTCATCTGGATAAATCTTTTTCTGTTCTCATATTGTCCTGTTGTACAATGTCTCTGTGCTCTGCTGGAAACCTCCTGGATTTCACCCCACAAGGGCTGAATGTTTCTGGGTAAAGTGATCCCTGTGTATAATTTTTGACACATTGTGGGATCCTTCAGGATAAAACTTGCTCGAGAAATTCAAGAGAATTACGTATTTTAAAAATCTCTCTCTGCTTGCAGGTTTTGTTCTGGTCATTGGATTGGTAACTTTCTATCGTATCGGACCCTACACCAACCTGTCCTGGTCTTGCTATCTGAACATTGGGGCCTGCCTCCTGGCCACACTGTCAGCTGCCATCCTCATATGGAACATCCTTCACAGGCGGGAGGACTGCATGGCACCTCGGGTCATTGTCATTAGCCGCACCCTGACTGCTCACTTCCGCCGGGGGCTGGAGAATGACTATGTTGAGTCACCATGCTGAGAGTATGTGCTTGAAAAGGAAGTGTCCTCTGCTGAGACTTGCATTGGAATTCTTTTCTATTAAGTATACACTGTAATTTAAAAGTAAGTGTTTAAGGACATCACAAAGCTCACTTTTTTTTGAAAGAGGCCCTCAATTATTATGTGGATGGGCTCCATCTATCAATCTATATGTAT